GTGGCGGGGCGGCATGTAGTCCTAGCTATCTCAGGAGGCTGAGGCAGGAGAATGGCGTGAACCCGGAGCGGAGCTTGCAGTGAGCCGAGATTGCGCCACTGCACTCCAGCCCTGGACGACAGAGCCGAGACTCTGTTCTCAAAAAAAAAAAAAAAAAAAAAAACCAGCATCATAAGGCTGGGTGCAGACTGGCATGGGCCCAGGCAGGTCCCACCTACTTCCAGGGGAGTTGAGGGGAGAGGGATCTGCCCAGGAGCTGGAGCTGCAGTGTCTGTGACGGAGCCTGCTAAACAGCCACTGCACTTCATGGCCTGGAACATCTGTTTTGGAGACCCCGTCTCTTAGGAAAGCAGCATGAGGCCGGGCCGTGGTGGTCCACGCCTCATAAATTCCAGCACTGTTGGGAGGCTGAGTGCGGTGGATCAGGAGGTCAGGAGATGCAACATCCTGGCAACAATGGTGAAAACCCATCTCTACTAAAAATACAAAAACTAGCCGTTAGCCGGGCACGGTGGCGGCGCCTGTAGTCCCAGCTATTCGGGAGGCTGAGGCAGGAGAATGGTGTGAAACCAGGAGGCGGAGCCTGCAGTGAGCTGAAATCGCACCACTGCAGTCACTGCACTCCAGCCTGGGTGACAGAGCGAGACCCCGTCTCAAAAACAAAAACAAAAACAAAAAAACCCAGCATGATTAGAGAACTCCATAGTTCAAGAGTTGTGGAATTCCTTCTCTAGGGAGACAGATCAAAAGGATCAGTCACTCAGACACTGTTACTATGTCATAAAAGGAAGGGTGCCTGGTGTGGGAACACAAATATGTGTTTGCTGCATGGCCAAGAAAGGAGCAGCATGGAGCAGAGGGCTCCAGCCAGAGGGGCAGCTGGCACTGACTCCAGGCCAGTCCCTGTGCACATTAGGGCTTGTGTGTGTGAAATCAATTTAGAGAAGCAACAATGGAGTACCCGGCATAGCAATTATTTTATTACCATTACAGGATATTTCAAATAATTAATTCTCATCACTCGTCTACAGGTGGGCCTTCGAATGAATCAGCAGGACTTACTGGAGAGTGACACAGAGGGGGAAAACTCACCCCCCGTGAGAATAGGCCAGCGCGCCAACAGTGACGGGAAGACCTCGCGTCCCCTGCTGTGCACTCCTAGAGCATGCGTTTGTCTAATCACGGCTACACATGACTTAGGGATCAGGAACATCAGGCTACTGAGTGACTGGGAATACCAGGTTACTGAGTGATCAGAACAGGCTTAAAGAAAAATAGGGCCAGGCACGGTGGCTACAGTGGCCTATAATCCCAGCACTCTGGGAGGCTGAGGCAGGTAGATTACCTGAGATCAGAAGATAAAGACCAGCCTGACCAACATGGTGAAACCCCATCTCTTATAAAAATACAAAAAAAATTAGCTGGACATGGTGGCAGGCGCCTGTCATCCCAGCTACTCAGGAGGCAGATGCAGGAGAATCACTTGAACCTGGGAGCTGGAGGTTGTGGTGAGCCGAGACCGCACCACTGCACTCTCCAGCCTGGGTGACGGAGTGAGACTCCGTCTCAAAAAAAAAAAGAAAAGAAAAGAAAAATGGTCCCAGCTGACCATCCTGTGTTCTAGAGGACAGCTGGAGGAGGAAGAGGATGGGACAAGGGCAGCTAGGCGGGCCTGTGCCAGCACCTGTTCTCACCTCCTCACTTCCTGCTGCACGCACAGCTCCAGCTGAACCAGCAGGGATGGCAGGGATGCCTTCCTGATCCCCCAGCATGGCTGGTCTCCAGAACTAACATTCCCGGATTCATCACAAAGCATTTTCAGAAGTCTTTCTTCCCATAAGGGATAAAAAAATCTGTGTATTTTGAACATCTTTGTGAGGAAGACGCATCACTGACCTAAGAAACAGTAGGCAGGACACGGTCAGCAAAGCAAGGGGATCGATCATTCAGCAAAGAGAAAATCCTTCAGGAAATTAAGATGCCAGCTGGCCAGGCCTAGCTGAGAATGCCCACCAGGTAGGAGAAAGGGGGGAAGGTAGGCAGAGCAAGAGCCTCCCTTGGACTTTGGGCCACTGATCCCAGAGAAGGGACGACAGCAGAGGGGCTGAGCGACGTAGCTCATGCCTGTCATCCCAGCACTTTGGGAGGCCAAGGTAGGCGGATCACTTGAGCTCAGGAGTTGAAGACCAACCTGGGAAACATGGCGAAACCCCATCTCTACTAAAAATACAAAAATTAGTAAATCTTTAATAAAAAGAAAAAGGAACACAGAAATTTATTGTAGTCCAGAACATTTCCATTTTATGCAACTGTAAGTGACAGAATGAGACCCTATCTCAAAAGAAAATAAAAGTAAAGAAATAAATATTGGCCGTCCGCAAGTGCTTTTCAAGCCTGTAATCCCAGCACTTTGCCAGGCCCGAGACGGGCGGATCACGAGGTCAGGAGATTGGAGACCATTCTGGCTAAAACAGTGAAACCCGTCTCTACAAAAAATACAAAAACACTAGCCGGGCGAGGTGGCGGCGCCTGTAGTCCCAGCTACAGGGAGGCTGAGCAGGAGAATGGCGTAAACCCGGGAGGCCGGAGCTTGCAGTGAGCTGAGATCTGGCCCACTGCACTCCAGCCTGGGTGACAGAGCGAGACTCCGTCTCTTTTTTTTTTTTTTTTTTTTTTTGAGCGGAGTCTCGCTGTTCGCCCAGGCTGGAGTGCAGTGGCCGGTCCAGCTCATTGCAAGCTCCGCCTCCCGGGTTTTTACGCCATTCTCCTGCCTCAGCCTCCCTGTAGCCTGGGACTACAGGGCCCCCACCTTCGCCGGCTAGTTTTTGTATTTTTTTAGTAGAGACGGGGTTTCACCGTGTTAGCCAGGAATGGTCTCGAAACTCCTGACCTCGTGATCCGCGTCTCGGCCTCCCAAAGTGCGGGGATTACAGGCTTGAGCCACCACGCCCGCCAAGACTCCATCTCAAAAAAAAAAATAAAATAAATATTAATCAACCAGAAGCCGGGCGCGGTGGCTCACGCCTGTAATCCCAGCATTTATGTGGAGGGCCAAGGGGGGGCGGATCACAAGGTCAGGAGATCGAGACCATCCTGGCTAACACAGTGAAACCCCATGTCTACTAAAAACACAAAAAATTAGCCGGACGAGGTGGCATGCAGCTGTACTCCTAGCCACTCAGAAGACTGAGGCAGGAGAATCGCTTGAAACCAGGAGGCAGAGGTTGCACTGATCTGAGACTGCGCCACCGCACTCCAGGTGAGCAACAGAGCAAGACCCCGTCTCAAAAACAAAAACAAACAAAATGCAACCCTTTGTCTCTCACCTATCTGTGACCTGGAAGCCCGTCCCTGCTTCATGTCTTCCTACCTTTGCTTGGCATTGTCCCACCTTTCCAGAATGAACCAATGTACTTCTTTCATATATTGACTGATGTCGCATGTCTCCCTAAAATGCATAAAATCAAGCTGTGTCCCAATCACCTTGGCCACATGTCATCAGGAGTACTGAGGCTGTGTCATGAGCATGCGTCCTCAACCCTGGTAAAATAAACATTCTAAATTAATTGAGACCTGTCTTAGATTTTGTGGGTCCACACCCATCGGGAGACTTGAAGGCTGACGATCCAGGACGCCTGTTTTAGTCGCACACACAGAACACTGGCTCAACATGAGCTCTGTTTTGAAACTTATGAAAAACACAAGAATATCACAAGATGGTAACCAGAGTAATACCAATTTGCTCAAACAAACTGAGCTGGTCCGAGTGCAGTGGTGTTTACAACTGACTGACCACAATCAGTTACGGGTTGCTTTGATCCTTCTCCATTCCCACTGCTTCACTTGACTAGCCATAGACAGACAGACAGACAGACAGACAGATACAAGCATGAAGTATCTGGAGAGAAAAATAAAACTACCTACTTAAAGAATTTATTTTCCTCCCTAATCATGACACTGAATCCATTTTTCCTAGTCTGTTGTAGTCTCAAGAACTTCTGAAAGCCAGGTGCAGTGGTGCACAACTGTAGTGCCAGCTACAAAGAGGAGGCTAAGGTGGGAGTATCACTTGAGACCAGGAGTTCAAGGCTGCAGTGAGTTGTGATGGCGCCAGTGTACTCCTACCTCGGTGACAGAGCAAAGCCCTATCTCTTTAAAAAATGTTTTGGCCAGGCACGGTGGCTCACGCCTGTAATCCCAGCACTTTGGGAGGCCGAGGCAGGCAGATGACAAGGTCAGGAGATCGAGACTATCCTAGCTAACACGGTAAAACCCTGTCTCTACTAAAAATACAAAAAAAATTAGCCAGGTGTGGTGGCAGGCACCTGTAGTCCCAGGTAATCAGGAGGCTGAGGCAGGAGAATGGTGGGAATCCGGGAGGCGGAGCTTGCAGTGAGTGGAGATGGGCCACTGCACTCCAGCCTGGGCAATACGGCAAGAGTCCATCTCAAAAAATAAATTAATTAATTAATTAATTAATTAATAATAAAAAATGTTTTAGCCGGGCATGGCAGTTCACGCCTATAAATCCAAGCACTTTGGGTGCCAAGGCAGGCGGATCACAGGGTCAAGAGATGGAGACCATCCTGGCCAATATAGTGAAACCCCGTCTCTACTAAAAATACAAAAATTAGCTGGGCGTGGTGGCGCATGCCAGGTGTCCCAGCTACTTGGGAGGTTAAGACAGGAGAATCACTTGAACCTGGGAGGCGGAGGTTGCAGTGAGCTGAGATCGTGCCACTGCACTCCAGCCTGATAATAGGGCAAAATTCAGTCTCAGTGAAAAAAAAAAAAAATTTAAAAGGCCGGACACATTAGCTTATGCTGGTAATCCCAATATTTTGGAAGCCCAAGGCGGGCGGATCCCAAGGTCAGGTGTTCCAGACCAGCCTGGCCAATGTGAATATACGAAAATTAGCCAGGCATGGTGGTGTGCACCTGTAGTCCCAGCTACTCACAAGGCTGAGGCAGGAGAATCGCTTGAACCCTGGAGGCGGAAGCTGCAGTGAGCTGAGATGGTGCCACTGCACTCCAACCTGGGTGACAGACCAAGACTCTGTCTCAAAAACAGAAACAAAAAAAAAGCTGGATGTAGTGGCTCATGCCTATAATCCCAGCACTCTGGGAGGCCGAGGTGGGCGTATCACTAGGTCAACAGTTCAAGACTAGCCTGGCCAACACAGTAAAACCCCATCTCTACTAAGAATACAAAAATTAGCCGGGCATGGTGGTGCATGCCTATAATCCTAGCTACTCAGGAAGTTCAGGCAGGAGAATCACTTGAGCCTGAGAGGTGGAGGTTGCAGTGAGTGGAGAATGCACCACTGCACTCCAGCCTGGGTGACAGAGCAAGACTCCATCTCAGGAGGAGGTGAGGGAAGGCCAGGTGCAGTGGCTCATGCCTGTAATCCCAGCAGTTTGGGAGGCCAAGGTGAGTGGATCACTTAAGGTCAGGAGTTCAAAGCCAGCCTGGCCAATATGGTGAAACATCATCTCTACTAAAAATATAAAACTTAACCTGGTGTGCTAGCATGAGCCTCTAATCCCAGCTACTTGGGAGAATGAGGCAGGAGAATCACTTGAACCCAGGAGGCGGAGGTTGCAGTGAGCCGAGATTGCACCATTACACTCCAGCCTGGGCAACAGACTAAGACACTGTCTCAAAAAATAATAATAATAATTACAGTGGGCCGGGCGTGGTAGCTCAAGTCTGTAATCCCAGCACTTTGGGAGGCTAAGACGGACGGATCACAAGGTCAGGAGATTGAGACCATCCTGGTTAACATGGTGAAACCCCGTCTCTACTAAAAAATACAAAAGAAAAACTAGCCGGGCGAGGTGGCGGACACCTGTAGTGCCAGCTACTTGGGAGGCTGAGGCAGGAGAATGGCGTAAACCCGGGAGGCGAAGCTTGCAGTGAGCCGAGATCCGGCCACTGCACTCCAGCCTGGGCGACAGAGTGAGACTCCGTCTCAAAAAAAAAATAGTAATAATTACAGTGCAATTAGTACAATTCTTTTCACTAAGAATTTTTCCCCTTTATTTCATTAACTGACATAACAGTCTTGCATGCTCGTGGCTGCACAGTGATGTTCCGATGTCTATAACGTACAGTTATCAGTTCCGCGTACTTAGCACATCTCTCATCTTCAACATTTATCACTTCTTTGGGTCGGGGAGATTCAATATCCTCCTACTAGTTTTTTTTTTTTTTGAGATGGCGTTTCATTCTTGTTGTCCAGGCTGGAGTGCAATGGCACTATCTCAGCTCACTGGGATTACAGGCGTGCACCACCACACCTGGCTCGGTTTTTGTATTTCTATTAGAGATGGGGTTTCACCATGTTGGCCACACTGGTCTAGAAATCCTGACCTCAGGTGATCCTCCTGCCTCAGCCTCCCAAAGTGCTAGGATTACAGGCATGAGCCATCGCACCTAGCCTTTTTTTCTGAGACGGAGTCTCCCTCTGTCGCCCAGGCTGGAGTGCAGTGGCGCAATCTCGCCTCACTGCAACCTCTGCCTCCCGGGTTCCAACGATTCTCCTGCCTTAGCCTCCCCAGTAGCTGGGACTACAGGTGCCCACCACCACATTCAGCTAACTTTTGTATTTTTAGTAGAGACGGGGTTTCATGCCATGTTATCCAGGCTGGTCTCCAACTCCTGACCTCAAGTGATTCACCCTCGCTGGCCTCCCAAAGTGCTGG